ATACAATACAGGTACTCCTGAGCTGGTTAGGGCTGCAGGTAGAAAATTAATGGAGTGAAATGAGTCAAAGTAATGGGGACTCAGAACACGTAAACAGAACACAGTATCCAGGATGACTGTACCTTCTGAGCACTGTACATGAAACCAATTAGCAAAGTGCTATTTTCAATTCTTCAGTTTGCATCTGGTTTTAAATCTGGTGACAGGCTATTGTCAGAGTTTGCAAGAAAATAGATTTAATATAGGACACACAATTTATAGGATTATTTTTATAATATTCACTCAAAAAGCCAAATGCTGAGGGGTGCAAGAGGTCTGTCCACTCACTACAGACACAAAGAATCCAGCTGAAGGCCTAGATCCCATGGCAATGTCCTGCATGTGTATACCTAAAGACCTAGAACCAACAGAAATATCTTCCATGAGTCCAGCTGGAGGTCTAGAACCTCAACAATGTCTTGTGCAATTCTGTATCAACAACCTGAACTGAGAAGGCCCAAGGGCCAGTGGTGGAAGCAAGAAAGTATCTGTAGACTGAGTAAGGGTTCTGTGCCTCCAAACTGAAAGATCTGCACTGGATTATTGGGTTCTGTCTTAGATCTCTGATCTCCCAAACGAGTGTATGGCAGAGGTTAAATAAAAAGAGACAAATTGTATGATTTTTAGGGCTCCAGCAGGGTCAAAACCCTTTAATTAAGCTCGAGGCTTCAAGGGTAAAGACAAAGAATTCTCTGGATCAGTCCTTAGGACCAAGGACAAAGGGAAGAGAAACTGAGGAAAGTGCAGGAAATGAGCAGGACCTTGGGAGTCACTTCAAGGAGGTCTCCAAATAATGACTCAAGTCAATTCAATAGCACTGTCTTATCATGAAGACATGGTAGAAGTGAGACTGTAGGAGTAATCTTTGCAGCTACTCTACCTTGTTAACTGGGGTTGAAGCCAAAGTGTCCGCAGCTGTAACCTTATCTTGCCTTTTGAGGTATCTCTGGCCTCACAGGCCACTTCAGGCCTCAGCCAGGACCAGTGATTCATAAAGGTTCACTTATTATGAATCAGCTCCCGTTGCCAGGCAAGGGGCCTAGGCCTAGGACAGACTCATAGATAAACATAGAAAGCCAATTAGTAAAATTTTTATCCTGCTCAGAGCCACTTTGCTTTGTAGTGGTCTCCAACACTGGATATATGAAGTAACACTCAAGATAAAGACCAGAGCTTCCCAGAAGAGAACCACAGTCATCCTCAGTGACAGCAAGGACATGAGTTCCTCTGATGATGTGAATGGGTCAATTCACATCAGGAAAAGCAGTGTGACAAGTTTGTTTAAGAGAAACAATAAGGCACTATCTTTCCCTCCTTTTATGGTATTGACAACAATTCTTAGGTGGTTCTTCCATGCTCATAACTATGCTTATTCAGATCAGTTGGGTTTACAAGTTTACAAGTTGACCATTAGTTAATGCACTACACAGGCTAAGGAGTTTTTGATAAGACAACTGTCCCAATGCTTTATTTGATGTAGAAGAAGCCAATCCAGAAATTCCAAATAGAAAATACCCATTTCCCTTATCCTATGGGACACTGTGAGTCTGTTTGCTAGCTTGCTTTAATTTTGGAGAGTATATTTCTTTTTCACCTTCAACAAATGTACATCCCTGTTAATTTGCTGTGTGCCTTGTTCAATTCTTTGTACAGGATGCAAAAAACCTGGAAAGAATTGTCTTGGGGCTCATCATCCAGAAACAGTCTTAGAAAGTCCACAGATACTACAAGATCTGGAAAAATATATTCTTCAAAAAGTGACATTTACTGCTTAGATCCTTTTCCCTATTCTCAAATCCTGATAGAGGCCCAAATACCTTATCTTGATGATGTGATTCCTGTTTTGGAATTTATCCACTGTCCTTGATGGTGGATTCTGGCTTGAATAAATACTTATACTTGCCTTGGTAAATTATATCTACTGTCTGTGTCTCTGGCCTTCCATATACTGTCTTGCAAGGCACTTTTCTTTCTCTTGCTTCTGTCTTCCTCCTTACTTTTCTTTCTTCTCATCTTCATCTTTCCCCTCTCCTTCTTTGTTCATTCCTCTTCTTACTTCTTGTCTTTTGGTGTATTGAAATAATTATCAGTAGCTTTTTATAAAGCTTGAGGGAGGTAGTGAGAATGAGTAGAGAATTGAAACATGAAATTGCTGCAGACCAGATCTTGAAACACTTTGTACACTTTGTAAACTTTTTTGTCTTTTTTTAAAAGAAGATTTCATTATGCAGTTCAGGTTGTCCCTGAACTCATTTTGTAGTCCATGCTGATCTGAAACTACTGATGATGCTCGTGCCCCAGATTCATAAGTGCTGGAATTACAAATGTGCACCACCTCGCCCAGTCTACACTTGTTTTTAGGCTATTGGAAGGCTTAAACAAAGAAACAGAATCCTCTGAATTGAACTTTAAAGGATCAATCAGTTGATAGGAAGGGTGGATAACTTGGATGAGGGAAAAAAGGAAACCTGCAGCAACAAGGAGACCTTGAATTTCTATAAACAACAGTTAAAGGGAATAATTTCGTGGTAAAGCTTAAGGGTAATAAAGTTGGAGGATACATCTTAAATGTGATTTTTAAAATCAACCACATATTTAAGTTGAGTATTTTGGGTGGTGAAATAGCTTGATTATGACTCTACTCACTGCCAACTTGTTTGGAGCTGCCACTGTGGGAAAATTACTCAGAAGGATATTGAAATTACTGCAATTATTCAGGTCAGAGATTATGACAACACTAATGAAAACTGCAGAGGTAACAATAGAGATGAGTGGATGTAGTAGGAAACAGACTAAAAAGAACTTGAGATCACTGACTTGAATGGAAAACAGTGAATTTAAAATAGCTTCCCAGTTTAGGATTTAAGGTTTTTCACCAGACAAGTAAAGTTAGAGTAAGAGCCTGTGTGGGATAACTGGAGGAAAAGAGACAGCAGATTAACAAATGTAACCATAATAGAATAAGAAAAAGAACAATCAGAAAAATCTTTTCTTGAGGCATGGCAGTTGTGAGGAGAAGAAATTATATGACACCTCAGTGGAAAGTGTGGAAGCAGACAATTACTCCATTTCCATGCAATTTCCTTTCCTTTTTTCAAGTAATATATGCACAATAAATATGTCTGTGATACTTCTATACAATTTTTATACAGTACAGAGTAGTATTAAATGGAAATAAACAGTTTCTTGACCAATTATATCCTGTCCCCCTTTTTAAGGAAGGGTCTTGCTATGTAGTTTAGGTCAGCCTCAAACTCGTTATATCCTGGGCTGGCCTTAAATTCACAGACTGTCCTTGCTCAGCCTCCTGGGTCCTGAAATTACAAGTACAGGTGTGTTCTTACATGTGGCTCCCTATTCTCTAACCTACTTTCCAGAAGTAATGTTTTGGAATTCTTTAGAGGCATTTTTTTATGGTGGCCCTTATATCCAAATACAACATGAATATGCTTACTAGTAGTAATCATTCATGCAGGGAATTATGATTATTTTGTCAGTTTCTTTAAGGTCACTTTTCAGCTCAATGATGAGTTTGTAGTGAAACCAAAAATTTCAACCTTGGAAGATCTATCTATCCATTTACCTACCTACCTCAGAAAGACTTTTTTTCTTTTCAATAACAAGGCTAGGAGCACTGAACCTTGTTAAAGAAAACATTACTCAGTCTTCAAACAACACTTACCTATCCTCAGAACTAAAATAAATGGACAATGGAACCACCATGACCTGAGATGATGTTCCCATACCACTCCTCACATTAAGGTAAAATATAAATGCCTCTGCTTTTCTCCCACTCAGTGCATTGCTTTTTTGGAACTTTCCCACTGCTTTATTGAAGCTTATCAATGAACTGTTTATTTTCCCATATTCTGTGACTCTTGATATATTCTTTTTCCCATCCGTTTCACTGGCTTCTCACACAATTTGTCTCACTCTTCACTTGAATTAACAAATTTAGACTGTTCTTTTTATTATGGTATATAGAAATTTATCTTCCACACTGTATCCCATGCACATATCACATGTTCATCAAAAGTTCTTAAGTGACATTTTCAAAACCATTTACAAAAAAGTGGAGTGATGAACTTGTGTGTTAAAGTCTCCGATGAATTCCTCTGTTCAGCAATAAATTGCTGAGTGCTTTCTCTGCAAAATGTAGTTTTAAGGATTTTAGAAGTATTCACAGTAATTCCTCTATATCATGTTTATACCAGCACAACTCATAATAGCTAAGTCTTGGAAGCAGTTTATATGTTCATCAACAGATGAATAAAGACAATGTGGTATTTAAATGGATCACAACTCTGCCATAAAGAAAGATAAGCTAGAATCATTTGTAGGAAAATATATGCACCTTGAGATCATAATGTTTAGTGAGAAAATTCAGACGCACAAGCATAAGCATCACATGGTCTCTCTGAAATGAGAAATTCTTTAAATTATACATAAAGATCAAAATAAAAGATTGATAATAAGTGGAAAGACAAATCTTTCTCAAATGGGAAGGGTATAAGAGATAGAAGGGAGAGGGAAAGGGAATGAAGAAAGGAATTGTGTTTTATGTACGTGTACCAACTACACAAGAATATAAACATGTATTCACACATGTACTAAAAAAATAAGCAATCATTACAAGTTTAGTTACAGGGAAAAACAATGCATAAAGGATAAGTTTCCTCTTCCCCGCTAGCAACCTTTAAGGGCAAGCAACAGTAAAAACCTCTTAGCTGCAAGGCATTGAAATAACACCTTTAAGCCTCTTCAGCTAGTGGGTGGGGCTAAGTGGGTAGCATAGCTTGCAGCGTCTTAGCGGATGGTAGCACAGATGTGAGAAATCACGTCACTGATGACGACAGGCGACACTCTGGCTTTCTCAGAGCAGTCTCTATGGTATTCGTATGAGCCTACCCGCCCCTTGAATAGGCAGTCTCGTGACAGTCTCGGTTTATACGAGTACTCACGTGATCTTGGCCTGCAGTCTTGTGGCTGCGGTGAGGTGTCTGGGCTCCTGAAGAACAGGCGGTTAGGTCGTAAAGGCTACTAGCCGACTTATCTGGGTGGTCAGTCCCCGCAGCTACCAGCCAGAGAGCAGTTCACTGCTTAATGCTTAGGCAGCGTTCCGCTCTTTCTGCTTCCTCTGTATTTGCGGTACCCATCTTTTCGTGGGTGAATTTACCTCAGGGTTTCCAGAACTTGGGGGCCTGAGGCTCAAACTCCGGACCAGTCCACAACCCATCTCTTTTTCACTGACATCCTCTCTTACGCCATCACCGAATAACTGCCTTTGAGCTGGCCCGCTCGGGTTTCCCTGGAGACCAGGTTCAGGGCGGTAAAGGTAACAGTGGGGAAGGAGGCCCCCCAGTGGACCAAAAAGGAGGAGGCACGAACTGGGGCTGGCCTAAAGGCGGCAGGCCACGAGAATGGGCAGTTAAGGGGTGAACAAGCACAAATAGAGTTCTGCGGATTTAGAAAGGACTGGACAGGATTTATTGCACGATGGAAGAATGTGGCTCTGAGAAAAAGATGGAGAAGGAAAATCTGGGGCCGAGAATGGATCCTCCTCTAGGGGAACCACAAGGATCGCTTGGGTGGGTGAAGGGTAAACCTAAATAGAGTTGATTGGTATCATGCTTTTGACGACAAGATAAACTGAAAGAAGGACCAATGCTAACTGGGCAAAAACATCCCTTAGAATGAGGCTAATATTCTTGGTGTATGTGGGTTGTTCTAATTGAGCAAAATGGTCTGAGTTGGTGATTAATAAAGGGGATTTTATATATCCACGTTGGGGATAAAACTTGGAAGAATAACATTTTCTAATGACAGATGAGAGGTTTTACAGTACTTTTTGTTCTGATTTACACCTGAATCTGACACTTGTTATATGGATTTTGTGCCTTTACTGATTGAAATGTGACTTGGAAGGACTGCCAAAGCACCAAGGCACTTTGAATTTCAAAAATAGGTAGCTGAATTTTTAAAAATACAGATAGTCAAATATGAAAATATTGCTTGATTTCTTAAGATGATGGAAAATTAACTCTTGAATTTAATAAATCGTATTTATTCTTAAATAAATCTTCCTAGGAGGTATCTTCATAGTTTGTAGTTAGGGGATAGGGTACATAAAGCCAGTTTTATAATTTAGGAAAAACAAGTGCCTCTACTGAACTGAGGTCATCCACATAATTGTGCCCAATTATCATATTAAATATGCTCTTTTACATTTCCACATTTATATGTGTTTTGTAAATTTTAATTTCTACAACAAACGGATCTTGGAAACTCTATCTTTTGGTTTGTATCTGCAGGTGGGTGCTACCAAATACAGCCATGAAGAAAAAGGTAAGATGTATACCAGAAAGGCAAAGGCAAAGGTAAAATTTGCAATTCTGAAATGTGTTATATTCTCTCTCTCTTTCTGTCTCTGTCTCTCTGTCTCTGTCTCTATATCTGTCTCTCTCTGTCTCTGAATCTTCTGTGTGGTCTTCCTGACTCATCCCCTTTTTTCTGTCTCATTTAATTTTTCTAATGTATAAGTTTTCTTGAATCAAGTCACATATACATATCACATAGGTCTGTGCCTTCACATTTATTTTTAGATCAACTCAAAATTTTATTGCTATACGGCCTTTAGGGCAATGTCTCCAGCTGTAACTTGAGACTCTTTCCATTGTTTTCTTATTGTTCTGTATCCCACTTTGAGATTTAGGCTGGATCACCAACAGTGCAATTCTGGAGCAAGTTTATTAACTTTTTTGGAGTTTCACTGTCCTCATTTGGGAAATGGCAATAATATATATTTCGTAGGTTTTGTGTGACGTTTAAACAAGCAAATGCTAGGAAACCCTTTAAATTATTATTTAACATGGTTAGCTTGGTAATATTTTTATAAACATTTGAGATAAGAAATTTCATTGAAAAACAAACATTAACCATTAATTTCAGCTAATAAGTTGAGTAATTCCAATTTGCTAAGGGAATATTCATCATAAGCCAGTCTGAAGTTGCTATCAACAAGGATGCCTAAACGTACCGAGCTTTCTACATGATTTATAGCAAAAATTTGCATTTATTTAATCATTCCAAAATGTATATATGTATGAAAACATGTTGCACTCCAGAAACATATATACCGTTATTGGTTTTTGGTTAAAATTCTTAGAAAAAAATTTTTTTTTTGTTTCAGCTTTAAAGAACCATTCAGCAGTGACTTTCTTTAATGAGATCAAATTGCATAGCTAAATTGCTAGATTGAATCAAGCCTAAGTGCAATACATTTTCATTAATATTCCTTACATTTGTAGTAAGTTTTAAAAAATACCTTAAGGTAGAAGGCAAAACATGTATGCTTTGCCTATTAAAAGCAAGGTAATTACAACTGTATTTAATAAATTTTAAGTTTGAAAAGACTCTTAAATATCATTTAAGGTCACTTTAGTAAATCTTGTTTGTTTTGTTTTGTTTTTTGAGACAAGGTCTTGCCATGTAGTTCAGGCTGGGCTAGAACTCACTATGTAGCCCAGGGTGGCTTTGAACTCATGATGATCCTTTTTTCATAGCCTCCTGTGAGTGCTGGGATTACAGACATGTGCCACCATGCTTAGTTTACTGAATGTCTTTTTAATACATTAATATACAGCATCTTTGACAGGTGTTTTTTCTCTCTGTGTTAGATACTGCCGTTCACAAGAAGACTATTTACATTCATAAGACCACACTTTATACAAGATCATTCTCATTATTAAAAACTTTCTTGCTTTGTATCATTGTTTTGATAGTTTATTCATTCTTATAGATAATCTTATTTTAATCTATTACATGTTACACATCAGAGACACTCCCTACCATTTATGATGTGTACCTCCAATGCCTTATGGTCTTTGGAATGATTATAAACTACCAAAGTGATACAGATGTAAGACCCCTAAGCCAGCCTAATGCATTGGGTTCACAGGAAATTCTTCAGGATATGATTAATGAACCAAGTTTGAAGGATAAATGAAACTTAGTTGAAAGAAAAAAGAGAAAGGAACATTACTGGCATAGAGTACAGCGTGAAACAAAGACAAAGACACAGGACTTCCCAGCTGGCAGAGCAAAATGACTACAAACTGTTCAGTTCAATGTGGCTGGATGCTTAAAGATACACACTAGAAGGGAGGAAGGTAAAGACAAATAGGTAAACTAGATCAAGAAGGTTCTTCATATGTGATTTAAGGATTTGATCCTGTAGACAATGGGGAACTTTTAAAATGAAAAGAGTGTCAGTAACTAATGGAACAATATTATAGAGGCAAGTGGAAGTAATGATATCTAGGCTATAGATGGAAAGGTTGACTTTGAACAAGAGTAGGAAGACCTTTGGTTATGCTGAAATTCCCTGATAATAGTTCAGAGCACAAAATATTAGTGTACTTCAGGGTGGAATTTTTCTAGCTTAATTCTAGATATATAGATACTCAATATTAAAATATGAATGCACTGCAAGTTTATTGCCAAAAGAATATGTGACCTATGGGAGGTAAGTGACTCGTTTCTAGAATGCTATGTTTACTTCTGATTGGGAAACAGTTTAGTAATATATAAGTATCTATACCAGGTTATTGGAACTATCATTTCTCTAAAATATCAAATAGGGAAGGAGATGATTCTTTTATACTGTATTTTCTCTAGAATGCTAACTTTTTGTTTCCTTTTCCCACTTTTGTCCCTAGGTGCTGTTGATGGGTAAAAGTGGATCTGGTAAGACCAGCATGAGATCTATTATCTTTGCAAACTATATAGCCAGAGACAAACGTCGTCTTGGTGCAACAAGTAAGATGTTCTATCTTATTGTAAAGTGAGGTGATCTTAAGTATTAATAATATGTATAACACACTTGGTTTTAGTAGTTTGGGGATGAAGAAGTTGAGGGATTTGTTTTGGAATATGTTCTCCTTTTTTATTCTTCCTCAGAGAAATGTGGCCTAATTTTGCTTATTAGTGCTTTTCTCTTGTAGAGGCTTTTACCTTTCAAATTTGCTCATAATATGGGATGCCCTTGTCCAAATTCTTGTTTATCTTGCTTTTCTTAAATAAGCTTAGATACCTTTTTGTTTGTTCATTTTGGTGTAATAGTGTTTTTGTTATTATATAAAGGATAATTAATAGATTTAACAGACATAATAAAAGCTCCTAAGAGATTTTAAAGCTGTAGTTATTTGTCCTCATAGACAGATAAGTACAAGGATGAGAAGAATGGAAATTAACCTGATCTGTACTCTGCTACTTCTCTTTCTAGATTTACATAGGAAGATTTACATTCTCATTGGAGTTTCTGTTCTAATTTGGGAAATACATTATTAGTTTGTTGGTTTGAAATTAATATATACTTGTTGGGCTTCCTTTGCTGCCAGGACAGTGAATCTAGGACCCTGGGAGAGCCCATCTCTGAACTCTAATGACTGCATTATGTAGTATCCAGGCATTTCTAGATTTCACCTTGGTCATTGGCTTTTAGGTGAGAAAATAAGTGCCCTACATGGCTTTCAAAGATTATTGATGTATGTTTCTACCATCATCTTGAATGCATTTAGGGACAAGTCACCCACTATTCTGTAAAGTATCACACTTCAGTTTTAAGAAAGATAAACATTGTTTAAGCACATTGCTCCAGGCTGTAGGAGGCAAAGGAGAAGGAAACCTTATTTCTGTTCTAATAGGGTTTGCAGTATGGGGTACACTTTTGTAATTGTAATAGTTTTGATAATTAGACAGCCATGTTTTTGAGACAGGATCTTGCTATGTAGTTCAGGCTGACCTTGAAATCACTATGTAGCCCAGGCTGGATTGGAACTCGTGCTTCAGCTGCCCAAATGCTGAAATTCTAGATGTGTACCACCACACCCAACTAAACAGCCATTTTATAAGTAAAGCAACAAATCTATTTTCCTTTATTTCTGTTAGCTGGTGTTCTTTTAGTTCTCTTAGGTCTCCACCAGCATTTGAAGATATTCATGTCTTAATTTATCCTAGTCATTCCCAGTCTCCCAAATCTATTCTTTTTTATGCTAAACATCTCCAGTTCCTCCATGTTGACCTAATTTTGAAGTGTTTGTAATTTTGAAGTGTTTGTAATGTTCAAACTTACCTACATTTTTTTCTGAGATGTGAATCCAAATGTGATCTGATCAGGACAAAGCATGCCTGTTACATCTCTGATTCTGGACAATATATTGACTTAGTATATTGTAACTCCCACTTTTCCTTTTTGGATTGACTTTCATTGTACTGAGTTGTATGAAGATCTCCAATTCTCCTTTAACATACGTTGTTATTAAAACATGTACCTTATGGATCTTGTACAAGTAATACTTTGAATCTAAGAAGAAATACTTACATGTATTATTCAGTTTTATTTGTTTTTATTAAATTTTATTTGTTACATGTATTTTGCTTGTTTGTTTCTTTTTTTGTTTGTTTGTTTTGGTACCCATCAAACTCAGGACCTTGCACTTGCCAGGCAGGCACTTACACCACTGAGCTACATAATCCTTGGCCTACATCTATTTTTTTATTTAAGTTATTCATGTGTTCAAAGATGTTTTAATGTATTCCACAGTGTGTTTCTGTATCCTGTATTTGTTATGAAATCTAACAAGTTGCTATCTTTTTGGACTTCAGTTTTGCTTATCTACAGAAACAGTATTAAATTCTGTTTTCATTTTAACTACTTATCTATTATCTAATACATTAGCTATACTTCCTAGTTCTGTGCAGTTTGTACATTTGGTGAATCTCTTTTCTAGTTTTTAATCTATGTCACTGGTCAAAACAGTTGGTTAAAATAGTGTACTATGGCGTGTCAAACCTGTAGAGTTAACGTCTGATCTCTGGAAAGTCTCTTTCCAAATCCTTTTCTGTTTTGGTTTAATAGATTTAAAAAATTTTCTTTTCTCCAGAGTTAAATATTTGGGCTTATCCATATGATTTGAGTATATTAGAGGAAACTAATGTTTATTAAATGAGTATTTATTGCCAGTCCTTTGTGTATAAGTTGTTTTTTTACATTAGTCTGCATATTCATTCTAATCAATAATGAAAGTATTGCTCAAAAATTACTCAGCTAGTAAGCATTATAGCTAGAATATCAATCTGTGCTCTTCTGTTTATTATACCACAATTTACTTAGTTTATGCTACTTAATAGTTCTTATCAGACTTCTTTTTCTTTGTTTTAATATTAGTATATGTGCTACCGAGGTGGGCATTACTTGTTTTAAATTCTACACACTTTGTTGAAGCATCTTTTTTTCTAGTCATTTTGTTTCTGTTTTTAGCTGATTTGTAAAGCTGATTTATTACTGAGTCCAGTGCCATTATTTTATAACCAAAAATTCAGAAATATAAAACTGCTTAAAATTGTTTTGCCATAGTCTAACAACATCAACATGAATGCAGATTATAGTCTTACTGATTAAGTCAGCACATTTATTCAGCAAGTTTTTTTTTTCTGTAACTGACTGTGTGCCAGACACTATGAATGAATTCTTCCCTTTTAAGGGTATCTCAAATAACTTTATTGATAATTTTGTCTCCTTAAAAGTAGTAAAGGTGTACATACTTACAATATTATGTTGATCATAATACTAAGCATATTATTATTAACTACTTTCTCATTGATGAAGAAAGCTTTGGGTTTTACTGCTAAACATATAGACTTGTTCAAAAGTTACATGTGTTTTTTACTTGATAATCTTTTTTGGCAATTTCTTAATATTCTTTTTATGCAGTTGCTGATTTTCTTTTAGTAGAATTTTTTTTCAAAATGTTGCATTCACTTTAATGTTTTAGTGTTTTTCTAGTTTGTCATTCCAAAAAAGTCCAATTTTATTTTAAATTTAGAACCTAGTATGGTTTACAATTTGAGATAAGGATACGGAATGATGGTACTATTAATTTATTAGGGGGATGTTAAAATGTGTTTGTTGGATTAGTACACTGTCAATAAAAATATTGTTTTGAACTATTTTAGTCTCAAACACTGTTGACAGTTCCAAGATAAACTGCCTACTCAAAATTCTCTGTTCTCTTGCCTTTTAATAAATGCTTTAATACCATGGTTTTCTACATTTGTCTTAACCATCCTTCCTTGTTTTTTGTAAAAAGATAATTTTTGTAATATTTTCTTCTTTCTGCCCCATAGGTATATGTAATTATCCAAAATTTTGTTCTTGGTTCTTTTCAACTACTGTCATGACAACAGGGCAGAAGTTTGAAAGTCAGATGGCCATATAGGTAACATGAGACTAAAAGAGAAGTAGTCAATGGTAGTTAGGTCACAAAAGGCCTTTTAAACAAAATTAAGTCATTTTAACTGAAGGCACAGAATAGCTCATAGACAGTTTTAAACAGAGAAGTAACATTTATTTATTCTGATTTTCAGTGTTAATTAGAAGAATAATACTCGAGAAAAATTCAAATATTATATAAGTGTTATAAAGCTATTGTCTTTGACTCTCAGGCCTATTTCTAAGAGACAAATGTAATTAGAAGTTCTGAGGCTATGCTTTTTGCTCTTACCTGAGTGTAAAAATCATGAAAATACAGAAAGATATACTTTTTCTTTTTTAAATAAGAATGGAATAAAATCTGCATTTTAGAAAGATTATTCTGTAATATGCAATATAGATTAGAGGTCGCCCAGAGCAGAAAGATTTTGGCCAGTTAAGTTATCTTATTTTATTTATTTTTATTAATTGTTTATTGATACAATTTAGATATACACAATGATACACTCATCATAGAGAAATTTTACCTGTACATGTTATATCGTTTTTTTATTTTAATGAGATTAAGACAAAAGAGGACAGAACAAAGCAGATCGGAACAGAACAATGTAAGCCACATTACTTCAAACACAAGACAACCTGATATTAACAGTAGCTACCATAATGTCTTGTTGAAATAGTTAAGCATACCTTCACATACAATAATATCAAACATAACAAAACAGTACAAAAACCATTCAAGAGAATAAAAGTGTTACAGTGCATTCTGAACCAAAGGACCAAAAATGAACAATGGCTACTATATTGTCTCATTTTCCATAAAAAATTTGTTTATACTATCACACTTATTAAAATCCAATAAGATACAACATGATAGAACCAATAGAAATAGAAGAACAAAAGCATGGTAGGAGTTCAAAGCAAGATGATGTTACATCAACAATGGCTGCCATAATGTCTTGTTTTCTTCAAAAAAGCTGTTCATACCATCACACATAATAAAATAAACAACAGAATAAAACCATTCCAAACATTCATTCAATGAATGAAAACATTATTATAAGGCTGCAAAGAAATATAATGGGGAATCATGATTACCAAAAATCTTATGTACTCTTACCTTTTCTTATACTAGGAAGACTATATGGTATTTATACATGTGAGTTTGATTTATTTCACTTATGAGTATGGTCTCAAGTTGCATCCATTTATTTATAAATATCTCAATGGGACCCTTCTTTAGAGCTGGGTAGTACTCCATTGTATAAAAATACCACATCTTTTAATCCATTCCTCATTTGATGGACACTTAGGCTGTTTTGAAGATATGAATATTACAAATTGCAATGCTATAAACATGGTGCCCATATATCACTGTGGTATGACATTTTCAGTTCTTCTGGGAATAGGCCTAGAAGTGGAATAGCTGAGTCAACTGGGACTTCCAGTCCCAGGTTTTTGAGGAATCTCTAGACTGACCTCCACAGTGGTTGCACCAGTCTCCACTCCCACCAACAGTGCAGAAGAGTTCCTTTTTCCCCACAGC